GATTTTTTATTTCTCCCTTAAGAAAAATAGATGTTCCTAAAAATAACACAATTTATTCTCATTGTTATACTATATATCCCATTGTATTTTACCAAAGTCTCCAGTCTATTTTACCAAATATCCCCAGTGACATATTTCTCTGTGCCTGTTACTGTTCTGAGAATTAGATGACAGCCAGGTGTCTGTTTAATGAAATAAATATCTCATATCCCTTGTGCCTCCTTCTAGTGGACAGTTAAGAGTGAAAGTCTCTCACATAAACACCAGCCAGTCAACAGTTTTAATTCTGGGCACAACCCAACCAGCAGAAACATTCCATCCATAGGACAAGCCAGGGTGGCTGCCCTATGCCCCAAGCTTTGGCGGGGAGAGGTGTGGGGCTGCCTCAACCATTTTATGGATGGGACCGAGGGCAGTCCAGGGGCTTATAGGGGGTGTGGCATGGGACAGCAGCAGGGGTTACCCCCACCACTCACTGCGGCAGTGAGAGACAGAGCTACCCAGCAGCCACCCCACACCTCCCATATCCGAGCCCCCTGTGCTCTGCTTCACTGTGGCAGCAGGAAGCAAAATACCCCTGGGTGCTCCACTTCCCACCACCATGGTGAAGCAGAGTACAGTGGGCTGACAGAGGGCAGTGGGGTGGAGTGGAGCAGGCTTCTGGGTCGATAATCATGTTGTAAGTGTACCAAAGCTTGAGATAATGGATCATCCAGGATTTCCCGATTGGTTTATTTTGGGTAGCAGATAGAAAACTCCTGGTTGGGGATTAGTGGGGGTGATTGTGGAAATTTGGTCCTGAGCAGGATCAGGGAGCTTCATGAGCAGTTGTTTCAGTTTTGTTTGTTTGTTTGGTATTCCTTAGTGGGATCACAGGAAAGAAGCTTGTAGAATCTGGTGTTGGTGAATTGTCTGGCAGCCTCCTGTTCATAATCTGTTTTGTTCATAATGAATACAGTGCCCCATTCGTCAGTCTCTTTGATTATGATGCTAGAATTGGTTTTGAGGCTGTGTATAGTTTAACAACCATTCATTAACAGGGGTTGTGCATTTTCTCTTTTTATTTGCTTGGTTGAGAAATCTTTCCATCATCATACATGATGGTGAACTCTGTGACCCCCCTAACAGTAAAAATGGCAAAAAGAAAGAAAGATGACAAGTACCAACATTTTCAGGAGTGGACTTGTATACATTTCTGGAGAGTTCTGGATCTCCACGCAGTCTAATTTGTTGTGAGAGACTGTCCTCAAACAAAAAAAAATGAATTTAGAATGGCATTTCATGACAAAATATGCAACATTCACTACAAAATACCCCAATGGTGACACACTAAATAGACTGTGAGGAATTGCAGCAAAAAATGAACATTGGACAAAATAGCCTGTTGGCATGGTCAAAAAAAGATGGGAGCTTAAACTGTGCAGATTTTGCAGGCTCAAATAGCATTATTCAAGAGGGAAGCCCTCTTGACAGGGATTACATGAAGAGATGCATGCTAACAATTGGTCATGAGCTATTTGACTTTTTTCACAAAGACAAAATCTTACAGAAAATTCAAGACATGCCATTATTGGCAAAAACCGTTCATGCCAGAGCTGCAAACATGGCCATCAAATCGACAAGGAACAAATGCAGAATTTGAGTATAGCTACTTATTTTTCATTTTCTTTGAACGAGACAACCAACATATGTGACATTTATCAGTTGCGTATTCTGGAACAATATATTTGTGGAAATGCAGTGCACAAAGAAATGATTGCAATATTACCAATGAAAAATCAAACAAGGGCTGAAAACATCCTTAAAACTGTGATGAACTTTGTAAACAAGAAAGAAATACAGTTGCGTAATCTTGTGTCTGTGTATGGCCAGTGCACCTAGCATTGTCAGCAAGTTCAGGGAATTCCTTTCTCTTTTGTCAGAATAGCTGAACCACACACTTTTGAACTTTCAATGCATTGTGCATCAGGAGCCACTTTGTGCGCAATCTTGTGGAACCAAACTCAGAAATGTAATGGGACTGATCATTTGCATGGTCAGTTGGATTCTTGCCTGAGCCCTTAATCACCATCAATTTCAATCACTCTTGAGGAAGTAGATTCCAAATACCCTGATCTACTAATGCACAATGTTCGCGGGTTATATCGTGGCAAAGTTTTTTCTGATTTTACCGCCTGCATTAACGAGATTAAGTCATTTTTGGATATGAAGGGCATCAAACACAGTGAACTTTCAGACTGTGACTCTTTGCTCAAGTTTTACTATCTCCTTGACATTACTGATCATTTGAATTACTTGGACCTTAAGCTACAAGGGCAAGGAAATACAGTCCTGACTCTGCAGCAGATAGTGTTTGGATTTGAGTCAAAATTGATTGTCTGTATCAGAGATATCAAGATGGGCAGACTCACACATTTTGAAAGACTACAAATGTTTCGTGATTCATATCAGAAAGAGAATCCAAATAACAGCCTTGATTTGCAGCAGCTAGGCGGGTTTGTTTCTGAGCTCCTGAAAGCATTTAAGTGTCTTTTTGTTGACTTTTACAAACACAGTGCTCTGCTTAAGTTTATGATTCATCGACATAAAGCATCCAATGAAGAACTGGATTTGACAGTCATTCCAAGCATCTTAGTCAGCAATTTGGAAATGGAATTAGCAGATTTCAAGGAGTCGGATATCTGGGTGGAAAAATTTGTCAAGCTGAATTCTGATTTAGAATACCTTGCTCAACAATGTGCAGTATTGGCAAAACCACACAAATTGGCTGACATGAAGAAATTGGAACATGATGATAATCAGAATCTGAAAACTTGAAAAGAACTTCCTGTAATATACAACACCATACAGAATGTCACATTGGTCGTATTTTCAATGCTTGGTTCTACCTATATGTGTGAGCAGGCTCTCTCTCATTTGAATCACATCAAAGGTAATTTGCGCTCAAGATTGACAGAAGACAGCCTGAATGCGTGCATGAAGTTGAATTTGACCAGTTATGATGTAAACTTCAAAGAAATGTGTGAAAAGATGCAGCAGTAGAAGTCCCATCAAATAAAGTCTGTGAATACATTTCAATTATGCTATTATTAATCATCGTGTTAATTATCAATAACATTAAGTTGTATATTTTCAGTCATGCAAATGGGCATTCTTATACTAGCTCTTTGTTGACCACTTGTTCTGAATTTTGATGTAGTTTGCCTCTTCGGTTTGAAAGATTGGTGTAATCCAATCTGTGTATTTATAGTCTTATTCGTCACCTGTCTTTATGAAAGAATGAGCTCTAATGAGAACTGCAAACATAATAACTTTCAGATGGGTCCAATTCCCCTCTTTTTTTAAATCAGGCTGTTTTATTTATTTATTTAAATTATCACATTCTCCATGTTTTTAACAGGAAGAAACTCTTCAACGGGCCCGGGAGGAAGATGAGAAGAGGAAAGAGATCACAAATCATTTCCAGGGCACACTGAGTGATATCCAGACTCAGATTGAGCAGCAAAGTGAAAGGAACATGAAACTGTGCCAGGAGAACACAGAGCTGGCTGAGAAGCTGAAAAGCATCATTGATCAGTATGAACTCAGAGAGGAGGTAAGACTACTGTGCTTTCATTCCAGACAGACTACTAGGGCAGGCAGCTTCCTTGAGGAAGAGAGAGGCAGGTTTTGAAGTGCATGAGCATTAGATGTATTTCCAACCCCATCCTCTCAATTTGCTGTCACTTTTGTGCTTTGCAAAGCTTTTCTGTGATGTGCAACATAGATAACATTGTCAAAATGTAATAGCACATTGCAATTTAATCTAGACCATGTGGGAAACACATTAGTGCTTTAGAAATGCTCTGGCAGCTACAGATTAATGAAAAGTGTTAACCGGCGATGCATTGGACGCTGAACAGATTCTAGCATGCAGATACAACTTTCACTATAAAATCTGCATTAAAAATATAGATAGCATATTATCCCTTCAGTAAATATTAGAGCTGATGAAAAAACTTCAAAAAAGCCCCAACATTTTCATACTATGATTTTTTTTCAAGACCTATTAAATATCTCAACCCATGACTGCATAAGACTTTTCATTGTTAATAAGTATGTTCATTGTGATTCTCAGTCCAAATATATGCATTAAAAACACACTAAAAAAAGAAAGAAAAGTGATATAGGTACTGTGTATTTCCAGTCTCAAATGCTGACCCCCTTTGGACTGAAGAAACCCATCTAATTATTTTAGAATCTTATTGTATCCTGTATTAAATCATCCCCTGAGTGAAACATACATGTTTTTGAATGGTTTCTATCAAAATAAAAAGAAGTTTTATCTAAATGTGGGATGACTTATAGACTGATCAAATGAGAGATTAAGGGAATGTTTCAATTCCAAATCAGGACAAAAAAGTCAAAATTTTAAATATGTTCATGAACTAATAATCTGAAACAGTTTTTGGATTGTGTCCATTGATAATTTTAGAATATTTTGTTCTGATTTAGACTTTCTATTTTTAAGCTTTTTAGGAATAAATTAACAAAAATCTTGAAATGTACAGTTGTTTCAAACCATAAAGCAATCCTTTTTTTTCCTGTTAAAAATGTCAAAACAGGATGTTTTGATCATTTCAAAACTTTTTTTTTTTTTTTTAAATCAAGAAATTAGTTGGGGACAACCTTTTCCTGTGGACAGTTTTGGTTACACACACAAAAACGTTACATTGGAAAATTTCCAACCAGCTCTAATGATTTACTCAACACAACAAAAGCCAGGTGGGTCACTGCTGATATTTCTTTTGAGCACGCCAATGCTCTAGAGCAGGGTTTCCCAACCTATGGGTTGAGACCCAAATATGGGTCACCATTACATTTCAAAAGGGTTGCCAGGTGTCTCCCCAGGTGGCTCTTAAGGAGTCATTCACGCATTTTTTTTTAATTGCCCTGGGTCACCAAGTCTTCCTGAATTGTCAAAATGGGTCCCCATCTGGAAAAGGTTGGGAACTGCTGCTCTAGAGTCATGGATCCAAGGCCGGAATGCACCATTAGATCATTTGGTCTGTCTGCCTGTATATTTCACTCAATAATTTCTGCATTGACCCAGTTTATGTGGATGAGTTAAAGCACATATAATTACCAGGAGAAAACAATAGTCAGTAAGGGCTCACTCCCACAAAGTGTTGTTTGATCCAGCAAAGTACTGAAGCATGTGCTTAACTTTACCTGGGTATGGAGTCCCATTGCCTCAGCAAGACAGCTCATGTTCTCAAGTGCTTTGTTGTGTCAGGCCAGGCTGCTCAGCACTTTGCACACTGATGCCCAAAGGGCCTGATCCTGTTTAGTGTTTTATCCAGATGAATCCCTGCATTCACACTGAGCTATGTGCAGCACTGGGACCTAATACTTCTGTTTTCACTTTATCCATCAGTTGGCTTAGATATTTGGTTCTAATACATCAGTCAAAATCTTAACCAGTTACCAGTATCAATAAATAGTGTTCACTGTGCATAGTCATGATCTGATGAGCAGCTATTTGAGATGCGAGTAATCTTTTTGATTGTACAGGTTGAACCCTCCCTAGTCCAGCACCCTTGAGACCTGACCAATGCTGAACCAGAAAATTTGCCGGACCACAGGAAACCAATATTATCTATCAGCATTACCAACATTTCCACTGCTTACTGGGCTTAAAGAAGACATTTAGGGGTAAATTAGAGCTAAATAACAGCACAGAACACTGAGAGCCAGGACTGGTGGCTGTAAACAAATTTTATGAGTTCACGGGAAACTTGGCAACACCATGATAAGTGGACATCCTGCTAACTAACCACAGATGTTGCTGGACCAAAGAGTGCTGGTCTAGAGAGGTTCAACCTGTACTAATGAGTTTATATGTTGATATTGTACATTGTAATGCATAGCAAGGATGAAGATCCCCAGGATTGTTTTTTATTACTGTGTAAATCTAAACTAATACAAACTTGGCTTTGCTTCTGAAGTGAATTCTGGCACAATTTGTTCATATGAAAAGAACTATTGTTTTCTAATAACCGCAATAGGCTGGGAATGTTTAGGGTTTGTAGAGTCCTGCTTGGAAACAAAAATTTGGATCCACATCCCATCCACATCCATGATAATTAACTTCTGACTCACAAGAAACACTCTATTTTTATATGTATCCACATCCACATAGTGGTGCAGGAACTGTTTGTAAGGTGGGGGTGCTGAGCTGTGCTACCCCTCCACCTGTTCACACCCCTCATCACCCTATGCTGGGGTCATACCTAGGGTTGCCAACTCATGGAGATTGGATGGACCAGATGCCATTGCCACAAATAGCATATGGTCTGGGAGAGTTGGCAACCTAGTCACAGCTGGAAGCAGCTGTGGAACCCTGGGTTGGCAACAGAACCACAAGCAGCAGCACACCCATCAGAGCCAGTGGGCTGAACTCAGGTGATATCAGACTGCAGAATGGTGGGTATGGCAGTTGGTGGGACCCCAGGGAGTACCAAAGTTGGTGGGGCAGGCCGAACCCTGGAGCGGCTGCGTGGAGGCCAGGATACTGGTTTGGTGAGTAGACAGCAGAGCTGGCCCCCGGGCACAGGGAAGACAAGGCAAAACCTGTGGGTGCTGAAGCACCCTCCACATGTCTGTTTCTCATGCCTATCCATCCATATCTCATTGGTATGCAAGTTGGATCTGCATCTGATACACAATCTGAAAAGATGGTAAGTAATATAACCTCATCCACCTCCAGGGATGTAGATATCTGCGGATATAAAATGGATATCTATGGATTTGCAGAGCTCTATCCATTTGCAGTATTTTGGCCTTTATGCTTGATCTAGTAGGCAGCACGTGTGTGTAAGCATGCAGGGGTGTGTGTGTCACTATAACTGCAGTTTGAGAACAGTGGTGTGTTTTTGGTTTTTTTGCAGCAACTTGATAAAATATTTAAGCACAGAGAACTTCAGCAGAAACTGGTGGATGCCAAGTTGGAGCAATCACAGGAAATGATGAAAGAAGCCGAGGAGCGACATGAACGAGAAAAGGAATATGTACTTATCTCTCTAATTTGTCTGCTCATTTGTCTGTCTGTCTTTAGATAAGAGATGGGCCCAATTCACCTCAAACTATTTCACCACAATAATTGGCTCTGCAAGTGAGAGTTGTGATACAGTGACAGGGCAACGTGATGGAAACTTTCACTGCTGTTGCCCTTGATGTGTTTGCATTATAGATACAGAAATACAGCCTCCAGGACTACCAGATTGCCACCTCTTCTTAATGTTAAAAAATAAATAAAACAAACCATAACATGGGTCAGAGTACATATGGCATGGCTTATTTCATCAGTACACAGGGTCAGATCATACTCCCAGTTGTAAAGCACTGATCTCCATCTATGCCTGTTGATGATATTTCTCCAAAGGGCTCTGATGAATGTGACTAAATTCTAACTGGGCCCCACAGCTCATGTGAAAGGGTGTTTCCAGTAGAGGTTGCAGGCAGGGGTGATCACAGAAGTCAATTAAAGTGGTTTGAGTGCATTATCCAGTAATCAAAACAACATGTGCTGAAAGTGAAACCCTAAGAAGTGCTCTCTCTCTTAGACTACAAAGCCCAGAGTTGTCTTCTAACTTTCCCCCAAAGTCTTGAGCACTCAGCTCAGCCATTGAGGTCAAGCACAAGACCAGAGTTTCCCCCTAATAGAAATACCAACTGAGAAAACAAGTTAGTCACCCAATAAAAATTAATTGTATAATTGACAGAGCCTGCAAGGCCCCACACACCGCTCATTAGAGTTTGTCTGTTACACAATAACTTTTGAACACTGCACCCAACCAATTCTAAAATGTCCCAAAGTGCTCTATGTCTCAGTAGACAGAGTCCTAATCATCTGAGTGAAACTGGAAATCAGAAAAGGCCCATCAAGTGCTCACTGGGTGCTGCAGGTGGCAAAATTACTCTGGTGGCCCTTGCTATTGCTGACACACATCACAGGCAGCCCCATAATATGCTGCACTCTTTTGTTGGCTGTACAACTTGGCCTATATGTGTAAGGAAGTGTGAGATCCTCTAATAAAAATGCAACATCTAGTAGTATGTGCATTTCTTTAGAGGCTGGCACAAACTGAGGATGAGTTAGCACAAGGCTTCAGTGGCCTATAGTAGATTTTCTCCATCATCTTCCATTTGATTGGTGTTGCTTTGATACCCCAATGTGCCATGTATTATCATTACTTTTAATAAGTTTTTAGGTCTTCAATTAATTGCAGGTGCAATTTAGGCCATACTTGACTTCTTAGTGCCTGATTTGAAGACACAGTCAAGTACTTGAATATCTAATTTACCTGACTTTGTAGTCTGTGAATGCAAAAAGAAAAGTCTAGATTTGAAACTGTAATACTCCCTTTTACACCTTGCATTAAAACAGATTGCAAACTCTTAGAGGCAAGGACTGTCCCTTACTCTGTTTTTATAATGCTTACTACAGTGGAGCTTGATCCTGATCCACAATCAAAACATGAATACCAACAATAACATCATAATTTGTCTAAACATTGCATTAAATATTTTTGTTATAATTGGTCTTTAAGTTGACTTGGTACAACAGAATTCATCATTCACAATCTTGTATCCAGACTGTAGGACTACTCCCTTATTATTACTTCACATTTTATTAATTAAAAATAATAGTTTTCATTATTGAATTTCTACCAGTTTGGTTTTTGTGAATTAGCACAGGCTCTCCAGCCCTCCCCCTGCAACAGCAGTCTGCCTGCTGCTGTGTTCCTAGCAGGGCAGAACAGCATTCCAATTATTTGTTCTTTGTTTGTTCCAAGACAGAGCAGCTCACTCAATTGTTAGATACTTCCCAGAGTTTTGAAAGGGAAAGGGCACATACTTGCAGAGTAACAAAGATTAAAAAAAACACTGAGTACAGCCATCAGTGCAGGCACTGAGGGATACCGGAGAAAGCCAGTTGTCTCGACAAAACAAACAGCAGATTCCATACTGGCTCTTTGTCGACAATAGAGGAATAGGAAAAGACAAAAATCTCTTGCTGGGGTGGAAGTTTTTTGTCACCAAACCTGGGTGTTTTCCCCTACAAGAATTGCCCTGCTGTATAAATGCTCTCGCTGTTGCTGAAAGGCAGGTTTTGGTGACAAAACATACCAGTATAGACAAGCCCCTGGAATTGAAAATCTAGTCCAGCATGCAAATGTTAACACAATTAGGTATTCTTCACATGTGTTACTTACATGCCTTCTCAAGAAAGTAATTCAGAAATTAGGGTTCATCAAACTAATGGTCATCCATAACCTCTCTTCATGCTGGATGGCCTTCCATGGGATCCTTTGAATTACACATGTATTAAATTGACTTTGGCCAGAACTTGGGATCCTAGCCAAAATTATCTAAATCCTGTCTCCAGTAAAGTCAATGGGAGTTTTGCCATTGACTTCAATGGGGCTAAGATTTTACCAACATGGCTAAAAATGTATAGTTATATTTCCTTAGATGTTTCATGACCACGTTGTATACAACACATGCGATCTTCTACCCCAGGATCTTCTACCCCAGCTATTTTTGAAATCCCAGATTTTTTTCACTGAATCCTCACCCACAATTTTCAAACTGATGTTAACGGCCCCAATCGCGATAAACTAGTCTTTTGTGTTGCTGGAATTTATATCAGCTATTTCCAGAAACACTGTGCATCTTAGTTGGATTTATAATTGCAAAGGCACAGAAATAATCATCTTCTCTCTGTTGTTCTAAACACAGCTACTAACTCAAGCGGCAGAATGGAAACTCCAGGCAAAAATGTTGAAGGAACAAGAGACTGTACTCCAGGCTCAGGTGAAGTTGATTGCATGGTGTGCCTATGTTTGCCCATTTTTAGCCCACGCAACACATTCCAGGTAAAGTATTCCAAATGCCCTGTCTGTATTCCTCCAAAGCCTATTCTGAATCATAAAGGCATTGTACTAATGTAATCCAAATATATTCAAGCATGTAGCAGAACAGTGAACCCCACTGAAGTGTTTGCATGTGCATACAATACTGAGCCGCAAAACTCTATACAGGCAGTCCCCGGGTTACATGGATCCGACTTACATCAGATCCCTACTTACAAACAGGGTGAGGCAACCCCGCAGTAGCTGCTTCCCCCCAGCAGACCAGGGAGACGCGAAGCTAGCGCCCCCCCAGCAGAGCAGGGAGACGCGAAGCGGCTTTTCTCAGCAGAAACCTCAGCTTGAGAATAAAGGACTGAGGGAAGTGAGGTGTGGGAGAATAAAACTGAGCTCTGGAGAAATGTTTGGCTAGAGTTTCCCCTACAATATGTACCAGTTCCGACTTACATACAAATTCAACTTAAGAACAAACCTACAGTCCCTATCTTGTACGTAACCCGGGGACTGCCTGTACTGTAATAATGTTGGAAGCCCGTACCAGGATGCTCACCATGACTCTTTCTCAGCCCAGACCAATACACCCTTTTAGATGCCAATTAAACAAAGCATTGAAGCATGTACTTAACTTTAAGCACATGGATTGTGGTGTAGCCTGTTGTTAAGCATGTCCTTAAGTGTTTTGCCGGAATTGCGTCTGACTGCAGAATTCCCATGAACGTCCAGGCATAGAGTGCTTGTACAAATGGGCCCTTTGTGTTTTCTGCTTAACAGGGCATAAGACTGTGTTTGAAAAATACATTAAAATAAAATGTATTAAACAAACTATCACAGATAGGGCTGGAGTGAAATGCAATAGCAGCCAAGAAACATACAAAACCTTACAACAGTCACTCCATCACAGACAGTAACGATACCAGACTTGAAATGTGGGTAAGCAATTAAAAGCAGACATATGATGTGTATTCCAAAAAGAGAAACCATGAATAGCTTTTCCTAGACTATTAGGGAAATACCTAATGGAAATATTCATACAGATTCATAGATTCTCTTTTAGGACTTAAATGAGAATTACGCCATTAAGGAGCATTTTTAAACCAGCCTATAGTTCTCTATAGCCCAGATAAAACTCTCTGTTAAATGCTTGCAGTCCTAAGAGCACTTACTGGAGATCACTGGAGAGCTCGGAGCAGATCTGCCCAACACAGTGGTGAAAACACTCACAATGCACCTCATCTGCAGTGGTGCTTTCATTGTTGTAACCACCAGGCAAGAACAGTTGCACAAAAGGGCTTCTTCCTGAGCAGGAGCATCAGAGTTCTGGTGCAAGAAGCCCTGATTTCATACAGTAGAACATCAGTTTAGTTGCCCAAGAACACGCGGCCAGTATAGACAGGCAGCAAGTTTTTGCGCAAGAGCGGCCACTTTTGCGCAAGATCGCTCCAGTGTAGACACAGCCTTGATATATTGTTCCTCGACTATCCCTGTAGAAAGACTCACAATCCAGGTAGGGTAACCTAACCTCACTGTGCAGCCAAGTAAGAGCTGTGACAATCTAGCCATGGCTCAACAAGGTGAGAAGGATATATGGTCCTTTAAAAGGACAACAAAGGCAGTTGTCTTCCTGGTTTTATGTTACATCCTGTGCTTTATTTCATGTTTAGCCTTTCTAGAAGTTGTTTTATGTGTCACTTTGGGACATACCACTGCCAACTGAGACTTCTAGCTGATATGGGTCTATTATGCTTGTGTTACAAATGCTTTTTAAACTGCCATGGCCACATTTGACATTTTTGGAAGGCATTGTGGTTACGATTCAGAGCCCCTGGTTCTTTACTAGGCTTTACAATGTCGGCTTTCTGCACGTGGGACCTTAGGAAAATTGTGGGTATCAACATTTTCAAGTCTTTACTTATTGAGCTCTTCCACATGACATCTTGAGCCTGATATTCAGAATGCTGAGCACACACAACTCCAACATACTTTAGAAAATATTGACCTCAGTCTTTCTGCTCTTCCTTATTCTATTCCTCTCTAAAATAGGATAATAACATCTCATCAGAGTGCAATGAGACTAAGATCACTAATGTGGTGCTTTGAAATCTTCAAATGAAAGGTGCTCTGCCAGCACAAAAGGATTATTACATTAAAATAAGGGGTGTATTCATTCAATTTGACTACAGGGAGCTTCTGAAACTGATCTGTTTGTTCCCGTGTACGTAGCTCACCCTCTATTCTGAAAGATTTGAAGAATTTCAGAAAACACTGACAAAAAGCAATGAGGTGTTTGCCAGTTTCAAACAGGAGATGGAGAAAGTGAGTAGCACATGTTATTTCTAAAATCTGACACTTCACTTTGAGACACAGGATTCTCCTTTGCGATTATTTATCTTTCATTTGGGCCATTTCTGTATGCTTGAGTGAAACACACTGGCCTAAGTTTGAGTGGTATGTGAGATGGGGTCAGAAAGACCAAATATATTGTAGGATTGTTTTGATATTGTGTACATTTCTGATTTCTGCCAACTGATATAAACTCTAAGAAGAGACCCAGAATCTCCCCTTCACAGACACTTATGGGAACTTTCCTTAATCACAGCCTATATTTTTAACACATAATAATTTTTAACCGTGTAATACGTTTTTCCTATTTTCAAGTAGGCAGGTGTGTATGGCGGGGGTATTCACGTGTGTCAACTTGCAATGCTTGAGGAGTTGACATTAAGCCAGTCTCTTGCTGTATGTTACTCTTCACCCATCTTTCTTTGACAGTGCTATATTCATGTTCACTGTAGTTGCTGATTACAGAGCTATAAGTATGGATTTAAGAAAAGATAACAAAAGTGCTCTTCTAACTTCAATTCGCATTTGGGATTCATGGTGTGATTCTCTTCCTGCTTCCATAGATGACAAAGAAGATGAAGAAGTTGGAAAAGGATACAGCTACATGGAAAGCCAGGTTTGAAAACTGTAACAAAGCTCTATTGGACATGATTGATGAGGTGAGAAACCTGCTTCACAATTTTTTTTTTCATATTTTTAAGGTCTGATCCAAAGCCCATTAAAATCTTGATAATTGATGGCTCTGGATCAGGGACCTTTTTCTGAGTTCTGTATATGTTGATCTTTGAAAAAATATTGAATCTATTGAGGTCAAGATATAACTGAGTCTGCCTCCTTGCTTACACTAACAGTCTGTCTACATGGGAAGTTTCTCCTAATTAACTAAAAGGACTAATTTAAAGTGCATTAAATCCTCATGTGGATGCTCTCATTCAGCAGTGGCATGCCCTTAATTCACTTTAGATTAAAGCCACTTGACTTCTGAAAGAAAGTGTCCACACAGGGATTTAATGTGCTTTAAATGATGCACTTTAAAGTCAGACCTTCAGTTAATTTCCAGAATAGAAGCCATTGGGGTCCACTGTAAATTTTAAAGTTCCTGATAGAGATAGACTGCATAGAAAATTAGTAGGGATGTAGGAACAGGTTCAAATAAAATAAGAAGCCATCCCAAATTTAAATGTCACTTGGACCAAGTTTTTGAGATTTGAAAAAAAGGTGAACAACACGTGTGCCCCCCATCCACCCACAACCTCCAGCACTATCATTTTTGTGGATTTCTACACCAGCTAGACTCAGAAAATGTAGATGTCCACAAAATGCTGCAGGAAAGGCTGTTCTCACAGAATGTCCTACCAATCAAAAAACAAGATGGACTGAAAATATAAGAGAGCCTGTTCTCACAAAAAATTCCAGTGGTTTTACAGGAAGTCCAGGTAAGCAATATAGATCTTAGGTGCTTATCTGTTCTGACATCCTGAACAATTCTATAGTCCTCCCTTGCTAGAAATTATTCATGACTATGTCTATGCCTCATATCTCTTGGTCAAATTCAGCTGAGTGCAAAGGACCTGCAGAATGTCTTATTCACCGCTTAAGTGACACTTCAGTGCACTGGAGTGAATTAGTACTTAATTAGGAAGATAGTAATTATATTTGATTACTTTTAGAACTTGCAGTGAAGAAAGACTGTACGGAACACATTATATCTGTATAACTTCATTTTTCTACACCTTTGCCTGATTTTGATTTGCCCACAGAAAGCAATGAGGGCTAAGGAGTATGAGTGCTTCGTGCTGAAAATCCAGAGGCTAGAGAATCTTTGCAGAGCACTGCAGGAAGAGAGGAATGAACTGTACACAAAAATAAAAGAAGCCAAATTCACTAACGAGGAAGAGGAGGATGAGGAGGATGGAAATGAATTTTTCTACACCTTTGCCTGATTTTGATTTGCCCACAGAAAGCAATGAGGGCTAAGGAGTATGAGTGCTTCGTGCTGAAAATCCAGAGGCTAGAGAATCTTTGCAGAGCACTGCAGGAAGAGAGGAATGAACTGTACACAAAAATAAAAGAAGCCAAATTCACTAACGAGGAAGAGGAGGATGAGGAGGATGGAAATGATGATTCCTTAGGGAAAGGGGCTGATGCACATCCATCCATTACCAACCAGGATACTGCAAAGCTGTCCAGTATCGATGAGAACATATTGAAGAATCTAGCTGCAGCATTCACGGTGACCCACCATGTGCAGGATCCCCTCACAGTCTCCAGAGAGAACAGCAATCCAGAGCTGGCTGACCATCAAGCATGCAGCCCTCTTTGCCTCTCACAGCCAGAGCTTCCTTCTCATCCCACTCCTCAGCCAGAGGCAGGGAGTCCCTCTGGGCGGCTGAGTCCTGCACTGAAGTCCACTGAATGTGCACCAAAGGTTGAAAAATGTGAAGGAGCCCCAGCAGAGCAGCCTCTTCAAAATCAGCCCACACAACAAACAGTAAATGATGACATGGAAGGAGTAGATTAAACATAACACTGGTTTCTGGCTCAACTTTCTACCAATCATAGCTCCATTTTCTCCCTGAAATAATTTTCTGAAACAAACCAAAAAGCTTGAAAACATGCTCAAACATGTCACCTTTTCACCAACACCCCACAGTATTAGCAGGGTACCTATTTCGGCTGTCCCTCATATGTCCAAAGCACAATTTTTTTTTAATATCAGCAAAAGTATAACATTTCAGGATCTTTTTTCTAGGCATCTCACCCAACAAATTGTTCAGGTTTCATGTTTTAAGAATTGTTGCAGTGCAGATACTCATTTTTAAAGCTATATAATTAAACACATTAATTTGGCTTGGTGTTGCACAAAACATGCCCTGTGTTGAAACCAGGGGAGTTTAATAAATGAGGTGATGAGGATTTGTGATCACAGCAGAGGCATTGTTAGGGCAAGTTGGAGCCATTCAGTACAACAATGGCATATTTTTGCAAAATTTACCTGCACAAATCACTAACTTGTTATTGGAAACGTTGTATCTGAACACCCATACACAACTCCAAACATCTACCGCTAATTGCCATCTCTGTACAGTGCTATGATTATGTCATTGCTCTCAAATGACACATAATGAAAGGGAAAAGTTCTTTGTGAGAGGCTTCATAATATTGCTGTTTTATTCTTTAGGATTAAATCCTGACTTTTAAGGAACAGCCCTGAGCAGGAGACACCATGGAGATGCCCTGCCTTGCCAGGAGAACCAGAGATTGTGTCTCAGACAGGTATACTTTCTCCCCATAGTTCTCTCCATGTGGTGCACAGAATGCTCCACCACAGATTGCTCCCAGAAGCATACGCCCTTTTGCTTAAACTGGTGCAGACAGGAGAAGGACTTGGGCTATGCTGCTTTCTCTTCATTCCCTTTTCTGGTATCCTGCTCCCCAGGGTAGAACAAAAGCAAACAGTCTCTGTGCTCCCCTGAGCACCAGGAATGCAGAGCATAGGAGAAGAAAGGTGGTTTGAACTCCCCAACCCATCAGCAAGCCCACCCAAGTGCCCATCTGGTCCTTACTATGTTAGCCAGCTGGTTTTAGAGTGATGAGCTGATTTTAGAGTCATGAGCAAATGGTCCTATGGGGGGGCGCTGATAGGGCACCCAGAAGGGAATGTCAGGTGTTTTATTTGGCAGAGAATCCTCATCTTCCCTGCCCACTCATAGCTAGAATCCCTCTCTCATCCCCAAACTGCATTCTCTGTACTCAGTCCAGTGGGCAGGGAGTTCCAGTGGGCCCATTTGTATTCTACTCTGGTTTCATTACTCTCTGTGGATATTAGCCGGCAGTTCCTGCAGGGAGCAATGAGCACAGGCATGTAGGCAGCACTGCTCATGGAATCCCATGACACCTGTTGTATCTATGGCAAGGAGACCCTGGGTCACAGCTATGTAGACTGTGTCAGGCTGTAGCCATTCTGCCAGCTCCTTCGGAATCTCTTTTTGAAGGTCTGGTTGCACTTTTCTCCTGACATAGCCAATCTGCCAACTCCTTCGGAAACTCTTTTTGAAGGTCTGGTTGCACTTTTCTCCTGACCTGTTTATTCTTGCACACCTTATCCGTGGTCCCAGGATGTTGCAAGATCTCCCCATCAACCTTCTCCTAGTACTTGCCAAAATGACTACCACCAGACCAGGAGGAGGAAGCTTGATGGGGCAAGAGGAACATGCTGCAACTGTGGCACCTATTTTTGGTTCCTCATCAAATCATACCACTAGGTAGAGTTCCTGTGGGTGCTGTCCACTGATTCCTTAGACATCTTTAAGGAGTGGTGTCAGGGTTTCTCTGCATGCTGTCTCTTTCTGGATCCCTTTGAGCTTCACTTCCATTCCTGTTTTCTCATTTATTCTCCCAAGGTATCATTTGTGGCCTGGGCTTAGTGGTTCCTCTCCCACCAGGAGACAGGCCTTTAGTCATGTTTGAGCCCAGGCCTGCCATTTTTATGAAAATAAGACCAGTCATACTGGGTCAGACCAAAGGTCCATCTAGTCCAGTACCCTGTCTTCTAACAGTGGCCAATGCCAGGTGCCCCAGAGGGAATGAACAGAACAGGTAATCATCAAGTGATCCATCCCATTGTCCATTCCCAGCTTCCAGTTACAACATAGACACACTTAATCTAGGGCCCAACCATCCCAGTATCCACAATAAGAATACTGAGTCCAGGTCTTCGGCTACCAGTTCCTAGTCTGACTATCTCAAAACTGTGAAAATGCCACTAATATGAGAACAGATGTCCAGAAGTTAGAAAAAGAAATATTACACACTAACAAACTCATCCATATATATGAACATTGAAATGCCTTCAAATGTTTCATGTTTGCACTGTTCTGTACAATCTTTTTGAAAATTAACTGTTGCAATAGCCACAGAATGATTTATGACAGTTGTTTTTCTGGGATTGGACTTGGCCATTATGGCTAAAATTTTCAAATTTAGATGCCTAAAATTAGATGCTGCCTTTTATATTTAAGCTCCTAAATGTTGGTAATCTCTCCTGAAAAATCAGACCACGTAGATCCCTGGCTTTGAAGATTTTAGCCTATAAATTAATTGTTTCAGTTGTTGATTTCTGTTTAAGTTCTAGTGATTTTGTGTTAATAGAAACTCGGTATAAATTTGAAGCATATAAAGTTTTGCTTGTGGTTAGTATGTTTTAAAATTAAATTAGTATAAATCATATATCCATTAAACCTCTTTCTGCTCTGGTGATTTGTGAATTTTTTAGCTTGGGTTTGTTTGAGGGGGGATTTTTTGTTGGGGGGCTGGCTTAGATTTGTTTTGGGGTTTTGTTTGTTTTGTTTTGGGTTTTTTTGCCATTTTAATACATGTCCTCATACTACTCCTTTTTCTCTATATAGTCTTTTATAATGTATTCACCACCATTGTATTTAAGCTCCTTACAAACAAATATTGAGTGTATCCCCCCTAAAAAAAACTACATTACAAGAACATTTGGATTACAAAGTCATGTTAAATATTGAGTGTCTCCCCCCCAAAAAAAACTACATTACAAGAACATTTGGATTACAAAGTCATGCACTCTGAAGGAAGGAAATGCCAGAATTAAGGCTGCTTGTATAACCAACAGACAACAGCTTCATCCCCTACATCACCCATGCTGTGTTCTGAGAACAAGTCAGGGTGATGTAAGGAATGAGGCAGGAGTCCTGTAGAAAATTAGTATGTAATCTTGCCACTTGCGCTCATGCCTCTTTCCCCAACCCAGCTCTAGCTCTTAAATCCTTTTCTGCTGCCCAGGTCTCCCAATTCCCTCCTCTTCCTCAATGTCTCTCACCTGTCTTCCAACCCTGCATCTCTTCCTCTACCACCCCATAGACCATACAGTGAGGCCCGTTGTTGTACTTAGAAAATGAGTTTTATTCCTTCACCAGACACTACTTATTCTCTGCAGATTTATTCTCAGTCAATAACCGGAGATCCTGTGTTAAAAGTTCTCTGCAAGAAACCCTTAATTCTACCGTCATGGCACATCTAAAGTTAGCAGTTTTGATATAATATTAAAGAGTTCTTCTCCATAATTTCATTAATATTTGGCCTGTAAAGGCCCAAATAAGCTGCAAATCATTGAATGAATATGGAAGTACATTATAGACAAGTGTAATGGACTGAGGAACTTAGAAGTCATACATAAGACAAAACATTGTAAATACCTAATTTGGGTGAAAATACATTTTTTTAGTAGTTATGGATAATAAAATGTGCTAAAGAATTAAAAATTCTTGCCCTACTGGGGTGTTTATGTATTAATATTTTCTATAATCAGTCTAACAGATAATGTGCAATAAATTACCATGACTCTTTTTTGCTAGTAAGTATAAATTAAAGTTATTACCCCATCCCTATAATTTGTTTCTTAGCAATACTCACCTTTCACTGTAGGCAGAATTATGTTAGAATTTACCCTCAAGAGAAGTGTTTCTGCACCAGCTTAGCTACGTGAAATGATAGAAAAATGCATCAGATATATTAAATTTATGAAAATACCTAAAATTTTACTGTTTTCCTCAACCACAGCACTGAACCAGATAAAACACTGAAGTCCTCTTTATTTCTTACTCAAATATTTATAAGTGATAGTTTATCCAGATTGGTATGATATAATTGTTAACATAAGTCAAAATTGTAATTTCTGTTTCAAGTCCAGTGTTTGTTATGAATCATATGTATTGCTGTTGGCCCTGTAATGGTTATTCCTGAATAAAATACATTTTTATTTGCCAGTCTGGTAACCTACTCACCACAATCTCTCTAGCCAGACATGTCACCATTGTGAAAAGCACGTTCAGCAGATTTTTTGTTGGTGTTCTCACACTTCTTCTAACACGAGTCTGGGCAGGAAAGCCCAGCAGCAAGACAGGAACATCACCCTGTTTGACATATCACATGCTTGTAGGCATGAGACACTGCAAAATAGGATCTGGCGCTGTTAATGCTCTCCATTAGCAGCAGGGGAATGGGGCATTCATCCTGTCAACAAGAGAGTGTTTCTTCTGGCAATTTGCCTGCTTGCTGTGTTAGTATAGAGCAGGGGTGGGCAATAATTTTTGACAGGGGGCCATGCCAAGAATTTGGGAAGTGGT